GTAGGGAAATGTCTATTCTCAAAGAAATCTATTTGAAAAGATTTAGGAGCAAAATAATATTTGTAATTTTTCTTAAACTATCTCAAATATAAATAAGTGAAGGAAGTATGATAAATGTTAACAATAGTTAGATATTAAATTTTAGATAAGAGGTCATAAATTATAATATATATTTCCATATTATAGAAAATTTTTGTAATGAAGAACACATTTTTCAAAAAAATTAAAATTTTCCTCTCAGGTATCCTTATGTTATTCTGCCAAATAATCTGACATTAAAGTGCTGCAGATAACCCATTATTTAAACAGTTAAACAATAAGCACAAAAACACAGAAAAAACTCATTTTATTCTGTGTATTATGCTTTCATGATGACCCCATGTGACTCGGCATCCAGTCTCATTTTGTCCTTTCCAAAGTGTGATGCCCAAATCATCTTGTTTGTTTTTGCAGGAATACATCACTATCATATTTATGCAGGTGGGAATGACTCAGAGACATAGTCTAAATCTGGTGGCTTATTAATACTCACCTCTGGACCAAAGAACACCAGCAAAGAGGGTGTACCTAAACTTACATATCCCATTTCTTCATAAAAGAAGTACCTATCCTACTCTTCCGTGAGGAGCCAACCTCATTTTTGTTCTGTTCAGGTCAACCTGTGGCAACTTGGAGATCTCCATCAAGGGTCATATCCCTCTCAATGGCAGTTTGTCAGACCCTTGGCCTCACTGGTAAGCACATGACATACAACACCTCATTTAAGTCTCATGGCAATCCTATAATTAAGGACTGAAACCTCCACATTATACAAAAGGGCACAATGGTTCAGCAAGTTTAAGTAACTTGCCTAAGGTCACACAGCTAATAAGTGTCAGGGTCAGGCCTGAAATTCAGATGTGATCTCCCAAGTGATACTGTTTCTGATAAGGGTATGTGTCAGGTCTCTTTGGTCTTTTCCCAGAGTTTACTTGGTTCACTCTGCTTTGACTTCTTTTCATCCTTTAAGCTTCAGTTAGAATGTCACCTCTCCCTAACCATGTCATAGAGCAACCTCTCTCACTTTCCCTTGCAGCATGCAGTCTGCTATCATCCAGTTAATTACTTAGTGACTTTCTGGCCTTGTCTACTTCAACATAACCTTCAAAAGAACAGGTCCCTTAACTGTCGGTCACTGTAGTGCTATCAGTGCCTAGAAAAGCATCTAGCCCTGGAGACCTGTTGAATATTCACCTGTTAAATAGATTTTATTGGTTTTTGACTAGGACATGTTCATGCATGTGTGGGTGATGTCTGGTTCTTTTTTTTTTTTTTTTAAGATTTTTCCCATAGGGTCCATGTACTCACTGGAGAGGAGAGAGACAAAGTGAGACAGTATGAGAGAAAGTGAGAAATCACTCCCCAGAGGAGAGGACCACCCCACAATCCTTTCTCCTCCATTCTCCTCCTAGGACTTTGGGCATACATGCACAGACATATGACCAACATGATTTTCAAGCCACCAGGTCCAGGACTTGTACCACAGTCAGCCACGTGGAAGTCCAGTGCCCCAACCACTATGTTACCTGCTGGCCCCAGATATCTGGTTCTTAGTCATAACCCGTGGAATACTGAGTGAACTTAAAATAGAGACCCAAACATCGAAAGGAAAGTGTGGTCCAGAGTCTACAGGCCTTCAGCTATAGCTGTTAAAACTGGAAAACAAAATTCTACCTTTCAGAGAACTCAAGCTCCTCAATTGTGACCTATGTGAAAGTTAGCACATGGGTTACAAAATACTGTTATGATCAGTTTGTGGTATCTCCATTAGCCTTGAGGACCTAGGTTTTTCAACTGGGCTCCAAGAAGTTCTAAGGTTTTTAGGGATGTGTTTCAGGGTCTTCCATGAAGAAAGAAAAATTGTCTATGCAGCATAAGTGTAAAGAACTGTAGGCTTTTTCTTTCACTGGCTATGTTAAGGTGATCTGCTCTGGCCTCTGTCCTAAGCACCATACTTTGGATTAGCTGATGTCTAATTCAACAAAATTACCTCTCCCATGGGGCTGGTCTTCCTCACCACCAAAGTGTCCAGACCCTCTCTGCCATTTCTTCCCTTCCTCACAAGCACAACCCAAATTGCTCCCATGGTAACAACTTCAGAAGTGTCTTTTCGGTCATCTTTGGATCTTAGAGCACAGGTACCTCGTAGGCCAACTTTGGCCAGCAGCCTGAAGAGAGGCAGGAGGATATCGTAGTCTGGAGAAAGTGTCCTTGCTGTGTCCACCAGCGTCTGCAGAAGAGCTTCACTGCCACCTTTGCTGATCATGTAGTGTATCCTCCGGTCTGTGCCTGAGAGGGAAACCAGTGGCAAGATGAGTCACCTAGGAATAATCCTCATTTTCCTTAGAGCAGAAGACAAATCTCACAGTTATAGACAGAACAAGCAGTGGTTCATTTTACCCCAGAAACCACAACTGGATAGTTTATGATGCACCTGTGTTAAAGCTGTAGTATTGGGTAAGAGGAAGAAGGCATAAATGAGAAAATATTTAACAACTTAAGGGTAGGGACCAGCTGGCATAATGATACGTCACTGGACTCCCACGTAGTCAACCGCGGTTCGCGTTCTGGACCCGGTGTCTTAAAACTCACGCCGGGCGCGCGTGTGTGTGTGTGTGTGCCCAAGATCTCGAGAGGAGAATGGATTGAGGCATGGCCATCCCCACTGGGGGGTGATTTCTCACTTTCTATCTCTCTGTCTGTCTGGCGAACACATGCGCCCTATAGCAAAAACTTCAAGAGAGAAAAAAAAAAAACTCACACTCTCACACTGGGCATGTGTGACCAAAATCCTGAGAGGAGAATGGAGAAGGGACCACATTATGGCCATCCCCCACAGGGGGGTGATTTCTCTCTCTCTGTCTCTCTGTCTCTCCAACAACTATACATGCCCTATACAAGAATCTCTCTCTCTAAAAAAAAAAAAAAAGAAAGAAAGAAAGAGAGAAAAGAAAAAGAAAGAGCAAACCAGTGAACCTAAGGATAGTTACCTGCAGGATCTTTACTAAGTAGAGCCTAAAACCTACTTAACTGAGAACCTGTGGAATCTTTTGTGTATGCACAGGCATATAAATAGTCACTCAAGTTTATATATAATCAAATACATAACATGAGAGGAAATGATAGTACCCTTCTGCTACAAGTTTGAGTAATCTATTGGGCTGTCAGAATAGTCATGACATATTTTTCTATGCAAAAATGCATCATGAGTTTTCCAATGACCCAATATAATAGACTGTGATGATAGCTTATCTGGAATAATTTTTTTGCCCATATAATGATTTTCTGATGCTGACCTTCAATAACCAATGGGAGAAATATCCAGAAGCCACTAGAGTAATCCTCTGAGAAGCAAGCATCCAATCATCTTAGCTAGGGAACTTTAAAGAGATGAAGTATTGATCTTTTTAACTAAGAATAGTTTTGACAGGGACCTTCCCCACCTTGCCTGAGGACAAGCTCAAAAGCAGTGATAATATTTCAGCTTGGAAAGGCCAACAGGGTCGGACATTATCAAAGATGACCCTCTGATTTTTTCATCCTAATAAAAAGTAGCATTCTCTATAAAAGGAGCAATAACCAGAGGGAGAATGCCAAGGTCTCATTCTGTAAGTTTCAGACATTTGGGTATGAGAACTCACTCAAAAGTGCAGAGAAGTCACCCTACCAGCAGACAGCAGCGTAACTCATGGAAAGACCCCGATATGATGGGACCCTTCCTCTCAAGATTGTAGTCTTGAGTCTCTATAGCTTTAGAGAGTCATTGATTTATGGTATTGTCTGTTTGGTGTTAACATTTCTTTCTAATGTACTGTGGCCAGCTTATATAGAAATCAAATTGAGTGAACACTGACATG